TGGAGGAAGAAGAGGAAAAAAGGAAAGCACTATCATTAAAGCCACACATCTGTGAAATGCTGTGATACTGCAGTGATGACCTCAGAATTAAGACAGGCTAAATTGATACCTGTCCTTCAATAGTGGGTATTGTGTGTGACTTATGTTGAGTGCAAAGCACAGTGTAAAATCTTACCCCTGTAAAGGTAAGATAGGAAGGATGATTATTATCTTCAAACCATTTAATCTGTATTTAGTGAGTGATGATTATAAAGGCTGTCCATTCAATAATGAGATTCAGACTCCCTTAGTCAATTGATATATAGCAGATAGTATTGAAAGAGATCCTCTTCAGTTCAATTCACCTTTATACTACAGTTGTACTAAGCATTCATATACCACAAAAAAAATCATTTTCTTTGAATTTGCTTGTAAATTTTCAATGAGAGGAGAAGGTGGGCTTGGGGACTTTGTTGGAAGCGATAGTGTTTTTTAAGACACATGACTGTAAACCTTTACATCACAACCTACTGTGATGCTGTGGCCTCAAGGTACTCCCCTAGCAGAAAAAATGCAAGCTCATCATATTCTGATTCTAGCATGAGGTTCACTAGGAAGAATGAATTCTTAGACTTTCTAAGAGCACAGAGCATGTGGCAGGAATAAAAAACAAAAGGAAAGAGTAACAAGATGTCCTGGGTTCAGCAGTAGCAGTCATGGTTTTTTTTTTCCTTTGTGGTAGCTGGTACAGTGCTGTGTTTCGACTTCCAGCCTGGGAACAGTGTTGGTGAAGTCGATGTTTTCAGTTGTTGCTAAGTGATGTTTACCCTGACCAAGGACTTTGTGAGGCTCATGCTCTGCCAGGGAGGAGGGGAAGCCGGGAGGAAGCAGAGACGGGGCGCCTGACCCGGGCTAGCCGGGGAGGTATTCCATACCACAGCACGTCATGGCCGGGGTGGGGGGTGACTGGGAGTTACCTGGAAGGATACGGGCTTCCAGGTGGAACTCGTTTCCTTGGCCGGTGGTATCGTATTCTCTTCCCTTGTTATTTTCCCTTATCATTGTTGTAGTTGATAGTTGCGGTGGTGATTTGTGTTGTACATTGGTTGCTGGACTGTTCTTGTCTCAGCCCGTGGGAGTTGCATTTTTTTTCGATCCTCCTCCCCGTTCCTCCGGGAGTGGGAGAGAACCCCGGTGGGGGGGGGGACACGGACCTCGATTGTTGTCAGCTCGGCACCACTCACTGGGAGTGAGTGAACAAGTTGCCTGACTGGGTTTAAACCACGACATTTTCTCTTGTAACCCTCACTCACTTGTAGGCTGAATATTTACACTTGAGTTTTCTCTCCCTGCACATACGAATGAAGAACTTAACATGAACAAAAGATAAGGTGATTGAGAGTACACCATGCTAATGGCTGGTATTTATGTGCAGATGACACCTGTTAGATGCTAAAATGATATTAATATTGCTTCACTTTTCCCAGCTCCAACTCCACTCACTCACCATCCTTTAGACTGTGTATGCAGGACACGAGCTGCAGATTATCAAATGGTCCTCCACTGTCTGAGGGAAAGCTACGAATTCTCTGAGGTATGAAGGGGTACCAGAGGCTTTTTCTTTTGACATAATTGTAAAACTGTAGTCAAATTTAGCTAAATATCCGATTTTTGAAACTATTTTGTTTTGCTTATGCCATGAAACGACTGCCCAGAGATGCCATTTGCCCTGAGAAGGCTTTATCCCAGGACCTCAGAACAGTTGCCCCAGCAGATGATGTGACTCGGGACACAGAGACTGCAAGCAAAGAGCAGTCCCATTGCTGTGCCTGTTGCTTGTGCCCTGGCATCAAATGGGTTGAAGAAATAGCCACTGTTTAATAGACCTAGATGAGAGCTTCAGCTGTCTGGGTAGCAGAAGTATTAGGTATCGGAGAGCAAGCTTGGGACAGACTAGAAGAGAAAGGGGCACAAGTGAGTCTATACCCATGAGCACATATGCACTCCCATGAAAATATGAAGCAAGCTCAAGGTACTGCAGCCTTAGTTTTCCTTTCCTTTTATAATACCTGTGAAGCTCGCTAGCACCCTTATATGCCTCTTTTCTGTCCTGTGCCTGTGTCACAGAGGAACAGCTGCCTACTGCTTTCAGGCACCCCACTAGTTCCAGGGATGGAGGCTAGTGTAGGAATATTGCTTCATTAATATGGTGCCAGGGGATGGAAATTCACTTCTTCTTCTCACCTCTCCTCTCTAAAAAACTGCACACTGAAAATAAATTAAATTAAAAGGAACATGAAGATTGAGAAAAATCAATTACTTCAAATTAGCAAATACAGTTCTGAAAGTTGTTAAACCTTAGATCAGCCTCTTTTGGTGCATGCTTTCCAATGCTGCTTTCATTTATGTCATGACAAGGAATCTAAAACTGCTACCTTAGCAGCAGAAAAGGGCTTAGTGGAGCCACAGTCACCTTTATATTCTTGCTGACAGTGAATCATTGGATTCAGTCAGCTGAAATCCCCTGTAGAAGCTGAAACTTCTGTAAAAGGAACCTTTCTTGTGCTTCAAACAAGGGAAAAAATATCGAGGCTGTTGTAGTTTCAGGCACAAAATTTTGACAGGGAGAACTGCATCAAATTTTTCTAAAATTCTGCTGACCTGGTTCTTAGTCCTTCCCAGGAAATAAAATTGTATATAACATTTTTTCCCCTCCAGGGGTTTAAAATTGTTCAGTTAACATTTTTAGCATGTTTTCTTTTTAATTCCTTCCTGTTCCCAGCAAAGCAGGCAGAGTTAATGAAGTTCTCCATGTCCTGTGGAAAAAGCTATCAGAGATTATGTTTTGTTTCTTAGATTCTCTGGAATTACAGCATTGTCTGAGGGTGTTCAATAAGGTCACAGCCCAGTGTGCTAAATGCTATGAAGACACAGCACAGATTGTCCTTTGCTAAGGAGTGCTCATCTTCTCCACCTCATGAGCTGTAACTTCCTTACTCACAAGATACTATAAAAGGATTTCTAATATAAATAATGCATCATCCTAAGCTGAAATATAATCAGCAGAAATGAATGTGAATATTAATGCATGTGACATGCATGTTCTTCTCTATTAGCTGTCTAAAGCTGTCCCATTTTGCTGAGATCTCACTGGCCCACACTTTCCCCTGCACCACAGAATCAGGGATGAATTGCTGTGATCAAAGCAGTCTTAATCACAATACATACACGCCACCTTGGGAGTTATACTGGAGAATATGGAATATGGATTCTCTCCTTCACCTCCTTACTCAGCACTTGCATTGTTTGCACCCACTTTATATATACGACAAAATCCCTTCAAGACTGGGGGAATTCACCCAGGTTACCATCTCTACCAAAGAAAGATCAGGATCACTTTGTGCGATGTTGGTTGAATGAATGCTGGATCCAACTGCACTTACATCACTGTCCTTATGCCAAAGGAAAAAAACTATGCCGCTGAAAGGCAGATCCTCCTGGGACCCTGACCTTCACTGTTCAGAGGACATATTACTCTAGTTGCAGCAAGAGTGTCAAACACAACCTGTTTAGTTTGGTTGTGTGAAAAGCTGGCTTTATATAAAAACTATGGACAGAATACAACAAAACAACTTAAAATAAAGATCATGTTTTTAATACATGTGTATGAACATTTCCACAGACTTGCACAGCATCAGCCTTGAGTGGAAAAATCACCATGCCAGACATTTTGTGTAAACTGCCCAATTTGTTGCTCTCCCATTCCTCACACAATCATAAAGCCTATTACTTCCCCAAGGCCATAATCATGATGCTGATGGTCAGAAAATTTTGAAGGATGAAATGAAAACCCTACAGTAAAAAACAAAGCTAAGGTTGGGGATTCATGACAATAAATCTGGGGCAAAGTCATTCTACCTGTGGCTGTAATTATTATCTGAAAAAGCAGCACGAACTCAGGCATTCAGAGGGAAAGTCTTAAAAAGCTCTAGCACTGTTATTAAAAGACCCAAACAGTATTTCACCTAAGAGATAAAACTATCTACTTATTCAAATATCATGTCACCCTACCACTGTAGATTGATTATGTACAAGCATCTATCACCGCTGCTGGTTAAATACAAAAATAATATTCAACCCCTGAAAGAAAAGGACTCCCTTTTTTTCAGTTTAACATGCTACTCAGAGAGAGATCTTCTAACAATGCTGAATAAGGTGAGAACGCAAATCTCACCTAATTTGTGGCTAGAGCTAAACCTAAGCTGGGGTTTACAGTCGATATTCTTCCTCTCATGTCCTCAGACTTCCTAAATTAGCAAAGACAGAGACTATCAGAAGCATACGGGATGCCAACCAGAACATAATCAGCAAAATATGGGACATTCTGAGCATACAAGGCAGATGATCACACAGAAAGATGTTGAACTCCTTATGCCTATTCATCTATCTACTTGAATGAAAGGAATGGAGGAGGAAGGGGGATGACTGTTAGAAGGGGGGAGGGAGTCTAGGTATGATTAACAATAGGTGTGAGACAGGAAGAACTAGATTAAACTGATCCATATGCAAATGGTCTGAGTCTGATTGCATCAAACCATGCACAGTTTAATGAGTATGGTAAGATGCCTTTATCTCTGCTTGGATATGTTCCGAAAAAAAGGACTGCTCCAAGATAAAACACAGTTTAATAAGAAGGTTTTTCATTGTGGGGTCGATCTGCATTTGCATTTCTCTCTCAGCCACAGAGCTTTCCTCAACCTCCATTCCTTTTCAAGAGATTAGTCAGTAAGCACTTATGTATTGTTGACACACACCTCAGGGCATTGCATACTTAACAAGCCTGTTTTAGCCTGGTCCTTCATGACCTGGATTAGACATTTCAAAATGAAGAATAAGTGGCAAACTCTTATTTCTCTGCTTATCTACTGAGCACTCTTTGCCCTTCTGCTATTTTGAAGCTTTGTAAAATCTTTTGGCATTCATACACTGATACAGAGACAGAATTTAGCTTGGGTACTTACAGCATCGTGGGCCAGACTCAGAACTGCATCACTGCTGTGAGATGGTGATAAATCCTGCTTCTCTGGAGCTAATCTGATTTTATACTATAGTAGCTGAAGTCTAGCCCTCTATTCCAAAAGTGTGTGTTGGTTTCTTCCAAGTGACTGCCTTTGTACACGGAACGTGGTAGCTAGGCACTGCCTCAGCTTCGCCTGTCTTAGGCTCTACTTACTGTTACAAGTGCAGGTGAAATAAAATAGAGGAAATCCTTTTTCTCCTTGTGCAAGCAAGATAGTGGGATTATCTCCAAGGCTTTCAGGGAGACCACAGGAAAGACAACGCACTGGTCTCTGCTCAGACTCCAGCAGCCATATGGTATAGTAAATACTAGCCTTCTCATCCAAGTATGATTAAGGTTGTAGTTAGCAAACTAAATCAGAGCAAGCTGCGAGTACCTTATTTTTACTCCAAGGCATAGCAAGTGATGCAAATTCGTTGAAGAGCAAGACCTTGAAGAGGTCTGACCCAACTAGCACATTCTTTAGAGGCCATCTATGGATACTGTGTTCTTTCTCACTCAGGGAAAAATTCTCCTATTCGTGTGCTGTGCTCTTCTCTGAAGCCTATGTGCACACTAACACCTGTAATCACACACTGCATATTTACACAAGTAATCATTTTGTTGCGGACAGAAAGTATTTCAGTCTCCAAGTGCTGATACTTAATATTAACCCTCCCACTAATGGAAGTAAATAAATACCACTGGCCATTCACATGTCTTCATGAGGAAGAAATCCCTTTTTACAGCAACTATAACTTGTTTGTGCAACAAGTACCTGTTGAACTAGGCTGATTAACAATCTACCTTCTCCATCTCAGCTTCAACAGATCATCTTTATTCTTATATCATGAAAATAAGACATTTTAACAGAAACAAGGCACTTGAACAAAAGCATTTCCATTGAATTCAACAGAAATAATCACGCACTTCAGTGCCTTGCAGATTGGGAATCCAAACCTGTTATTGCTTATTCCATCATTATCAACATGACTGCTTCTTTTCCATCACTGAGCTTTTTCATGTTATTAGGAATTTCTGGGTTTATATTCCTTTGACTACAGTGTATGTTTACATAATATATTTCAATTACTTTGATTTGAGTTTCAGTTCTGTACCTTTAGCTTTCTTGACGCTGAGGTGTCTTTCACCACTAAACCATGCATGTAAATACCACATCTACATGTTTTTTAAATACCTCCAGGGATGGTGACTCAACCACTTCCCTGGGCACCCTCTTCCAATGCCTGACAAGCCCTTCAGTGAAGAAATTTTTCCTCATGCCCAGCAATGGTGGACATGATTCTTCAGGTGGCACTGCCAAAGGCCTGCCGGGCCTCATTTGAAGGAAGCATTTTTAAGGTCAGATTTGAAAGAGAAGAATGCAGCTTTGTGAGTGTGACATGGAGCGTAAGTGAAATCACAGAGGCAGGTGCTGAGAAATTTAATGAATGGCAGATGGAGGCTGGCACCACCACAGCTATCTGAGGCAGGGTATAGGGTTGCTGTAAGAGGTTGTGCAGACATCTCAGGCACAGTTCCAACCTGCTTTGATTAAGTGGTCAGATGTCTCTTGTAAATCTTTGCTCTTCTTAGACTTAATCTGGATTGGTATAAACACATGAGTTCACACTGGCATCCTTTCTCAGGTGCGTATCACAAGTAACAAATGCATCGTCTTGCAGTGAAACACTTGGGGTGAAGTTCTTACCCCTTTGTAAGCCCCGAGTTCACCTCTGGTTTCAGTGACATCAAAATCCATGATTCAGTTCTAATAATTTTTGCCTTTTCACCTAGGTGGTCATCCCAGTTACAGTGGCAGCCCGTTACTTCCCTTTCCTCACAGGTGAGAAGGGCCAGTCTGGTTTCAGTCAGGTCTCTTAGCAGCTATTAAACATGACTATTAACATCCTTGCAGTTCTTTCAGTTATCCAGGTTACATTTTCCCTTTATAAACAGGGGCACTGCCATTCACTATCAATCCAGAGCTAGCATGAGAGTTTAAAACCTTGGTAGCTTTTTCAGTGCCAGTTGTGGAATATGTCTGATGACTGTGGTCTACAATGAGTAATGACTTCTTGCACTCTGCCTATGAACTAATGGTGAGAAGGAAAACTGTCATAAACATCTGCTGTTAATGCCATTAGAGTTTTGCTTCTACGTTATATGTGTAATTTTATTCTGATGTCTTAGTCCCATATTGTCATTTGTACTTTTGCCCCTAGAATTAACACTGGAATCTGCATTGAAAGTAGAGAGAAGGTATTTATGTAGGATTTGAGACATACCTAAATGATGTTTGATCACAATGGCATTATCACAGCATAGTTGTCTCTTTCTTCTTTCCAATTCTCTTTCATTCATAAGGCTGAAAGACCTTTTAATCTTTATGCAATTTCCCCTGCAAGGTCTAAATCACCTTGATATCTAGCAACATTGATTCTGTCTTTCCCTTCTTGATTGCTCAATCTTGGAGAATTTCCTGAATAATAAAAGTTATGTCCATATATACAAATGTAGCTATAAGGCCTCTTTCAGCACCCTGGCTTTATTTATCATACCTAATTTGTAGAGGATTTATATTAGTCTGTATGTGTTCTCTACAGGCTTGATCCAACTTCTGTTCATGTCAATGGCACTTTTGTGATAAACCTTAATGGTAGTGGGATTTAGCCCAAAGCTGGTGTATTTAAGTCAGTTTTAATCTGAAGAGCCTGTAGTAAAACCAATGACTTTGATCTTCTTTCCTGGGAGTCAGAGACTACAATTTTTTTTTTACTCTTAAGTAACTGCATGCTAGGTGGATGACTGTGAGGACAATCCTCTTCTGCACAAGTTGTTCCTTATGTTTAGAACAGTGTAGTGGACTTTGGGCTAAGAAGGACGTTATTTTTGTAAGAGGCAAAACTGGCAACATGTTACATAGAAACCTACCTATAAAAATAATGATCTATTTCTATTAAGGTCCAATAATAATATGTGTTTATATATATACATATATGGGGCTGTATTATTGACTGAAGTTAAATTTTTTTTTTTTTCTAACAGTACAGTAAAGGAGCACTTACCCTCTTCATCCTCACTGGACTCTTTCTTGGGCTGAGTCTTGATGTTTTTTATAACTGGGCTACTCAAGTAGTAGTTATGATGGGATCTTTCCCTGATATACTCATCTATCCAGTAAGAATTGAATGTAGATCACCAAATGAGTTACCAAGTGCTAACAACTTTCAGGTGCTATCAACACTGGCTTGATATGAACTGGTGAGCTAGAGGTGAGGAAATAGCCTACTGACTATTCTTTTGAGCCATATATTCACCAGCAGCAATTTAACAAAATTTCCAGAAAGCTCATCTATTACAATCACAAATCAGGTGGTCAACAACATCCAACATCAGTGTTTTAATCTTAATCTACCTTTGCTTCTCCTCTTGTTTTCCCTTTCCCCTCTGCCCCTGACACATACAAACACAGAGACTTTTCCCTTTTATAAATACAATGGATGTTGTTGTCAGTTCAGATAAGAGCAAATGCCAGATAGGATGGCAATATTTTCAGTCCTGGCAAATGCAATCATAAGTTCAGTTTATTAATATTGCAACAGTTGCACTAAATGAGATCACTTGGATAACAAAACATTTATCAACAAAACGCTGCCACCTACTGAAGTTTTGCAAACAGCCCAGATGATTGGATAAGATCACAAATTCACTCTGTCACAAGCTTATGGTCTTTGCTGAAATCATTCTTAGGGAAAGAAAAAAAAAAGCAAGAATGATAACCAGCAGAACAAGACAAGACGTGTCTTTCACGCAGTCTGTTCAGCAAGTGTCAGGGTAAATCCTGGAAAGCAACCTCCAAAGAGAAGAGGAGGTTTGGCTCTTTGTGCTCAGCATGTCATGGAGTTTTCAAGCACAGTGGCTAGTGGACTTTTCCTACCAACTGTTTTAGCTGGCAACAGCCCATTATAAACTTCCAGTTTCCTTGTGCTGATCTTCAAAACTTCTCCTAGACCATAGTAAACTGATACTAAAACTTGACAGCTTTTTGGGTTGCACCACCCCAGGTTATAAAGGTAAATTAGTAAATAAATAGCAGTCTGAATGATTGCAAGAAATCTTGTGCATTTTCTGTTGCAAGATCTCAACCAACTAAAAATATTCATTATTTCAGTATAATTCCACCAGGCATGCCCATGAAACAAAGATAAGTCCTGCATAGGAGATCTTTACCTACCCATGCTTCATTGCTTTTGTGTGAATCAATAAAATGATTAGATATACAAGGGCTGACAAGGCTTTGGATTGAAATCATTGTGCCCATTTGAAATTGCAGACAGCACTTCTAGAATGCCATAACCTAAGCTGGCTTTTAGGTAAGAATGTGGATCTCATTTTCAGTCTTCAGAGAACTGCTTTGGGGGTTTAGCTCTTAGTTATTGGTAGAATTATTTAAATAAAATGCAAACAAAATTATTCATGGTGCAACTAACTTTGTACCCTATGAGTAGAAAGGATTATTTATGTTAATGAAGAAAGCAAACTCAAAGAGTCAAGACAGCATACTTAGGAATAACAATCTCATTGCTATTATTTCATGTAATAGGTGACCTGTCTTTTCCTTATTCAGTTTCTTATTTGCAATAATAGCAAAATTAATACTTACCCCCACAACATCCTTGAATGTTAAAATTATGGACACTTAGGATATGAAAAAGTGACTGCATTTTAAGACTGGAGAACAACAGAGGATTTAAACGTGAATAACTTTAAGCATGGAAGTAATTCTGTTGAAATAAACAGGACTACTCAAACATTTCTGATTTTGCATGTGCTTCTTGTGCTCTACTAGCTTAGGGGCTAAGAACGGATATGCTTGTTTAATACAGTGTTTATCTACTATGCCTACATTCAGCATTACTGATTCCTTTCATCAGACAGAGACAAGTTCTCCATTTTTCCTAGCCTCCTTCTGGGCCAGTTTCAAACTTTGTTGTGCCTTCCCATGCATTTGCATTTTACATCTGATGTAGAAAATAGCAGCTATGAAACCAAACTCTGAGTCCTGAGGGGGTAAAGCAGAAGACTTGAAAGGAAACACTCAGAGGTTTGTCTAGATTAGGGAACATAATCAATATTAGGCTAGGGATGGCTCTTCCTAACCTAATTTTGGACCTTTTTGCACTGGGAAGCAGGATCTTCTTTCTGCTTTGGATTTAGCTGTTTGCAATCACCCTTGGGTTCCCCTTCATGACTGTGACCACAAGTACTGACTAATCCTGGCCTCATTCTCTCTTCCGAATGCTGGAATTGTCCTTAGTGCTGTGATGCCATATTTATATAGTGCAGGATATGAATATATACTCACTACTGTTCTGGAAAACCCTAACTAGTGAGAAGGCAGACCCAGAGTCTTTAGATGGCCACTATGCTTAACTCTTTTGCAGTAAAATCTGTAATATCTTTTAGACTTCAGTGGGGTTTTAAACCTGAATTGTTTAAGTTGGATTAGTTACGCTACCGTACCTGTTACGTGCATCCGGTGTCAGCTCCACCACCTTCCCTGAAGTGCAAGCAGGGTAAAAACCTAAATCCACGATAGGCTACCTGGAGCTGACATTGCCAGATATAAGACACGTTTAGCTGACATTGCCAGAAATAAGACTAGTTCAGGTAGGCTTGGTCTTTAAGCTGCGCTTTGCTGCAGCTGTTCTTCAACACAAAAGAACTTCAAAGGTTTTTGACTCCACTCAGGGACACTGAAGCCAACACATCTGCTAGCTCCTACGGAGATGAAGGAGTGCGTTTAATGCACACCATTACCCTAACCAGTGTGCAGGTGCAATTTCTGGCAGGAGCTCTTCACATTGGCTTGTCTGTATTTTTTTTTTTAATCAGGATTCATGGTTATTTCTAAGCTCAGAGATCCTGGCCTGTCTCTCAGTGACACCATTCCTCTAATAGCATCTGCAGGTTGCTTTTTCCCTGGCACCATGGTGGCAGCTGTTGGCTTTCCAGCATCAGGTTATTAGGGCAGGCTTCCCCAAGCCATGGTCTCAAGTGCAAAGCCAGTGTAAACAGTACACACTGAGATTTACCTACATTAGCTAATAAAGTAAGATTACTGGCTACTAAGGTACACACCAACCTTGGTTTAAATTTTCTTTCACCTTTGTAAACTCCCAGTCTAGAGTAAAGCTTTGAGAAACTGGGGACAGGTTACCTCTTAGAGGGTCTCTGGGCTAATACGGAATATACAGACAGAGCAGAAAGGCCAACAAACACGGGCAATGGCCAATGCACATAGGCCAGAGCCTCACTTCAGACGGAGAAAAGCACTGGTGCATGGAAGTAGAAGTGAAGGGCTTTGGTGGCCTGGAACTTTCTCAGGTTGCTTCAGCTCTGCCTGAGCTGCTCTGGAAAAAGGGTGGTGACTCCTTGCATGGGAGGATGAGGTGCTGGCTGGAAGGAAAGAGCTGCCAATTGATGGCTCCCTATGTCTGAATGGTTGACCTGTGATTTCACAGGCATCTGAAGTGTTTTCTGGTTAAAGGGTATCAGAAAAGGAGGAGGATGTGTTGATTTTTGACAGCTGTCTCTTTCTGTATCATGTCTCTTGATGCATACTATACCTTGCTGTACACTTTACTGAACAGCATGCTGTGAGAAGGCACTCTTTTGTGATGGAAAATGGCCCAGAGAAGAGCCAAGAAAATACAGGCTTCTGAAAGAATCTGTTTGTAAAGCTAATTATTCCCTGATTTAGGGCTAAAGTCCCACTCCAACGCTGAAGGCACACTTACCCAGCCCAAGGCAGAGCC